GTTTCCAGGGCTGTAAATCTCTAGGGAAGCAGACTGCCACATCTTTCTCCTGTGGAGCCGATGATGGTTTCTAACTGCCGACCTTTTAGTGAGCAGTTGAGTGCCTTAACAACTGCGCCACCAGGGCTCCTTGCACTAAAGTAAGGCTAAATAAGAACCATATGCACCTGTTTCAACTTACCTATAAATTCAACTTAAAGAGACACTTAGGAACCGGGGACCGCCTGTATTCTGAACAAAGTTGAACATACCAGAAGTGTGGATATTTTAACATTTGAATTTACTCTTCTATGGGAAAGGGATGTTTTGTAATCCCCAGTTTTAGTCTCTAATAGAGGAAGTTTCTCAAGAAGAAAGGAACTTGGAGATAGGGTTTAGCAGCAATAATATAATCCTGTCTTTGGCTTGGAGTCCCTGGGTCGTGCATATCATTAACATATTCTCATTAACACATTCGACTGCTAACTGAAAAGTAGGAGATTGAAGTTCACCGAGAGGTGAAAGGTCTGGCGATCTACTCCAAAAAATCAGCTACTGAAAACCCTGTAGAGCATAATTCTACTCTGACATACGTGGAGTCACCGTGACTCAAATCAACTCCACGGCAACTGGTTTTCTGGTCTTTGACTCAAGGATAGGAAAACAGCAAAGTAGTAAATGAAAAAGAACTGATTCTTATAACCAGATGCTGGATTCTTGTGTCCTGTGTCCTAAGACTGGGCACTAACTGGGCACGGTTAGATGTTTTGCTTGCAGTGTTTTAATAAACTCAGAACAGCCCTACAAGGCAGGTAATTATTATCCCTGTTTTATAGTACTTATGGTACACTGAACTCTTAAGGAGATCATGTTCTTGGGCAGTCTTTCTTAGTGCCTGTGAAGCACCCACTCTCTGCTGCACAGTTACCAGGATCTTTATTACATTCTCATTTAACCCTCACAACAATCCTTTGAAACAGGTACAGTGAAACCTGTGAAAGCCAGAACTCGACGGGTTGGCCTTGTTTTCCAGGTTTTGCAAGTTTTCTGCCCTTGGTAGGGTGCAGTCTTACCAATTGTTTATTGCTCGCTTTAGTAGAAAATGTTTGCGTTTTCCTTCTCTGATAGGTTTCCGCCTTACATAGGTTCTGGCTTTCATAGGTTTTACTGTATTATCTTCCTGTAAGGAAACAGACTCAGAGAGGTTAAAAGACTTGCCCAAAGTTACACAGCTAGTAGGTCTGACTGTCTTTAATGCAAATGTCCTCACCCCTACAGCACCATACTCATTATTGGAACTTTTTAATCTCTCTGACTTCAGCATTTCTGCCACCTTTGCTGGCTGCTCTCCTCTGCCCAACTCTAAACACTGGAATTCCTTTCTTGGCTCTCATTTTGCTTATATACACTTCATGGACAATCCCAAGCACCCCCGAAGTATTCAATCACCACGTATTCACAGATGAAGTCCAAATCTAAACATCTAACCCAGATCTCTCTTCTAAC